GCAGAATGTATATGTCACTATGTGCTTGTTTGTGCGAGGTGTTTTTTTAATATTAGAGGGTTTTTTTCTCAGGCTGGAAAAAAAAAAGTCTGATACGAATTTTTTTCGTCTCCAACTCCTACATGTGTCCAGTTAAACTGTTAAACTGCTTACACAGCTTAAACTGGTTGTGTTTGTCCAAACAGGTCTCACTTGTAAATGAGTCTTCGAGGCTCAATGTGATTTATCTGTTTAAATAAAGGTTGAATGAATGAACTACCGTACATATGGGACTGTACATTTATGTTCATATTATCGTTGCTGTTAAGTTGTGTTGCTGTTGGACATGCAAATTTTTTTTTACATTTTGCACCACATATACATACTGAAATCCCCAAATTTTGACATTTGTTTTACTTTCTTATATTTGACTTATTTGTTACATTTTGTGTTCTGTAATGTTCATTATTCAGAAGCTAAGGTTAAATAACTGTATAATAAATAAACAGACTTTACTTAAAGATGGATTTGTATTTCATGAATTGTATGTTTTCATTTGGCCCTCTCAGGGAAAAAGTTTGGGCACCCCTGGTATAGATCTAGTAGAGTGTTGTATGAATGAGTAAATGAGGGCACAGGTTGTAGTGTAAAGTGCTTTGAGTGTCTTGATATGATAGAAAAGCGTAATATATACACGTACAGTCCATTTACCATTTACATCATAAAGTTATTTTGTCCCAAAATGTACAAATATCAATAAATGTTGAAATTCATTATTGATTATTAGTTTTAAAATGTCACCTCCACTGGCCAGTAAAACCCCCTCCAGCTACCTCAAAGTTGCCCATGGGCCACCAGTTGATCTTCACAGTTGTTGCAGGTTTCGTGGCTCTGGGCTCTTTTTTATTTAATGAGTGAAGGGACAGAAATGGCTCCTTGATCAAAAAGATTGCAGACCCCTGTTCTAGTTGGATCCGGTGTTTAAGGTCTCAGATTTTCAGCCAGCAGATGGTGCAGTTTACTTAACAGAGCAAGTAAAGGTTGTGTCACCATCTTCTCTTCCTCAGGATAGAAATGAAACTAACCCCATCTAGTGGTGTTAGAGCCCAAAGAAAAAGCAAGACGATATGAAGTTTCTTGTAAAACTTTCTCAACCCCAGGCCTGATGTATATTTTTAAAATTCATGCTTCTCATTATACCAACACCCCCACGTATGCTGGAGATCACTGGGGAAAAAAGTACAAGTAAAAACTGAGCAGATCTGGATGGTGCGGAGAAGAATGCAAAAGACTCACAAGTAGAGCAGCACCTGTGGTTTGGGAACATCCCATCTATCTTTCTGCACAGGGGGAATTGAGTCTGTGTGTGTGTGTGTGTGTGTGCATGAAGGAGATGTGTGATACAACGAAAAGGACGACTCGAGGCAGGACTTAGTGGAGTTTATGAGTAATAGGAGAGACCCAGTAAACATATGTGACCTGGTGACAGAGCTGGCTGCAGTTTGGTTTCATCTGGCTTACGGCCTGGTTCTTGTGGACAATAAAAAGCCTCAGGGAGTCGGTGCTTTGTGTATCAACAGTGACCCACTGATTCCGAGCACTGTTTTCTTCAAAAGACAAAACTCCAATAAAATAAATTAAGACGGGTCTTTGTTGTAACTACACTTCTGAAAAATTAGGACATAGCGTAATGAAAACAGAATGTAATGATTTGCACATTTCATAAACCCATATTTTATTTACACATCTCAAATGTTTAAACTAAGAAATCATTCCTTTTTATGTAAGGTAATTTTAAATTTAATGGCTGGATACAGTCAGACTTATTCCATCTCAAACTGGTGCTAAATGCTGATAAAACCAAAGGGATGTTGTTTTCCAACAGAAAGTCTGTGCCAGCAACTCTTCCTCCTATCTCATCCATGCATGGTGTTCCTATCGAATTTGTAGATTCTTACAAATATTTGCAAATTTTGGCCGATGCTCATCTCTCATTTAAACCACATTTCGAAAACTTGTTAAAGAAACTGAAATTAAAACTGGGTTTATTTTTTAGAAATAGACTTTGCCTAACCCTAAATGCCAGAAAACACCTTGTAACCGCTACCTCCTATCGACCAATGACTATGGTGACATTATCTACATGAATGCCCCTGCCAGCTGCTTGCAGATGTTGGATGCTGTCTACCATGGTGCGATAAGATTCATAACTGGTTTTAACTACCGTTCCCATCACTGCACTCTGTACTCATTGGTCAGTTGGTCATTATCTACACGTAGACTCTCACACTGGTTCATCTTCATCTATAAATCTCTCCTCGGTCTGCTACCTTCTTATATCTCCTCCTACATGTCACGTCGTCAGTGCAGTTACAGCGTGCACTCTCAGACCATCATTATCTGCAGAGTTCCTTCAGTGCAGACCAAACTTGGCAAAAATACTTTTTCTTACTGTGCTCCTGCAACCTGGAACACCTTGCAACAAGATCTGAAGTTTTTACCTTAATTTCTTTATGGGGCTTCAAACATTTGATAAGGTCAATAGAAAAATCAAAGCAAATATGTTCTTATTTTTAGTATTTCACCCTGTTTTATTGTTTTATACACTACTCTTATTTTAACTGCATTTTTACTATAGTTTTTTGTTATTATTGTCTGTACTTTATATGTTCTGTCTGGAACAGGTTCCTCTTGTAAACGAGTCCTCATGGCTCAATGAGACTAGCCTGTATAAATAAAGGTTGAATGAATG